TCCTTTCTAAGTAGAGGCCTTTGTCCAGTCAGTGGACTAAATATAGATGGTTTCAATAAAATAGGCACTGCCTATACGCACAGATGAATGCTGATTTTAAAAAAGCTTTCAATATAGAGGTTAATGAAATCCCTGTTAACAAAATCGACACCAATTTTACTTCTCAAGCAAGTATTGCAATGTTTTCACTTTAAAGACAAAATTAAATGTAATGGTGAAAACTTCATGAAAAATATAAACTTCATTAGCTTAAATTATTGTTTGTTTCAGAAACCTCTTCTTAACGAGTCACAAATTTCGACACAGACAACTGAGAGTTGTATTAGACGCCAAATGACACTAATTCAAATGTTAGTTGTATCCTAATAATGTAATGTGGCCTAAAACTGACCCAAAAAATAGATAAAAACAATTTTGAAGGGTTTTGTATTTCGTGTCAAAACTTGAGCTCAATCGGTGCAGAACTTTTGAGTTTCCGAAGCGTACACAAACCAAGTCAACATTTTTATATTTACAGACATTGAAAGGGTTATCTGAGAACTGAGAGGAAATTAGTTATGTGAAGGCACTAAATAAGGACAAACTGCCAGCTATGAACTCCAACCGTTTGCTACTACAGGCATTGATACTCCATAGATATAATTTGTGCAGGCATGTCCTCCCTCAGCTAGTGCATGATTTATTTTACATTTGTATCTTAAACTGTAGTGCAGTACCATAAGCGGCCAGCTGATCATCGTAAAATTTTGTATCCGAGAACTCGGGGGTACAGGAAAGGACAAATCAATGATATAGATAAGTAAGGTATCTTTTATCCCGAATAAATGATTCCATAAAAATAATTTAAAAAGTTTGCAGGAAGGAAAACAAAATTTATAAAAAATATATAATTGGTTATTTTTACACAACGAAAACCTTAAACCGATCGTAATTCGTAATCGTAAGAGTTACCTAAGTAATCGCACTCAAATTGTTAAAGTAAATATTTACAGAAGCAAAGAAAAGTTTCTTAATTACGGAGTTCCACAGGGTAGTGTGCTTGGACCCACCCTTTTCGTACTATACATCAACGATCTATGTAGGCTCAATCTGGCGAACGCCAATATTATCACTTACGCCGATGATACGGTTATATTGCTGAATCTGCTTTAAGGACCACGATTGATTGGCTGAATCATAATCGGCTCACTCTCAATTTAAAAAAAAACAAAATTTATAACATTTAGCCGTAAACTTACATCACAACCATCTGCTCTTGAACATTTAGTTGTACAGTAACACCAGAACAGTAGTTGTACCACAATCACACGCACTGAAGCAATTAAATATCTAGGCGTTTACATCGACAGTACATTTTCATCGAGTTATCAAATAGACTCACTAGCATCTAGCATCTCATCCATGTATTTAAGAACTTCAGAAGTTCGGCAGATTTATCTACTCTCCGTACGGTCTACTTTGCGTTGGCCAACTCAATTATTACCTACGGTGTGCCTGCATGGGGAAACACTGGTAAGAGTCTTTAGCTACGTTTAGAGAGAGCTCAGAGGGCAGTGCTCAAAGTCATGACTCGCAAACCTATACGTTTCCCAACCAGTGAATTGTACTCCTTATGTAAGATACCTACAGTAAGGCACTCCTTATTACACACGATTCTGCGTAAACATGCCGAGTTACCCTTTGACCACGATTTGTACAGGCGTAAACGTCGATCTGACCGGGTATCCTCGGCCTCGGACTCGGACTGCAAGACTGGAAGTTGTTCGTCGTCAATACTCATACTTTGCTCCATTCTTGTACAACAGAGTCAATAGAGTACTTGATATTTATCCAGACTCGACCCGTAAATGTGAGAAACTTACCGACGAATGGTTGGCGGCTTTCACGTATGACGAACTGGAATCGTTGGTGAAGATATAGGGTCACTGGAACTTTCACCAGTCCTCCCACTCACACATACTTATATTAATTGGCATGCGCGAATTACTAAGTCATATAAATATGTGTATAAATACACACATATATACACACACACAGACATACACACACACACACACCCACACATACACACACACACACACCCACACACACCCACACACACGAACACACACACACTCCCATACTCTTTTTCTTTTTGTATTGTATAACTTATAATAGTCACTAAGTTATCTTTATTATTCCTGAAACGCCGTTGTCTGCACCTTTCTGGAGGTGGGCGATAATAGCCACGACACAGTTCATAACTAATGTGGTTATTTTCGAACACAAGCAAATTTATATACCTACTGTTTCTTGTTCTAATAAAGATTATTATTATTATTAATAAATGAAAAATCAGTAAACTCAAAAAAGAGTTTGGACTATTCATTATTACAGTAATAGAAACTCCGTTTCACGTAGGTATCTACTGGAGGAAGCAGCCAGTTTATATCCAAACCAGTTACTAAACTAAACTACTAGCATTATAATCAATCTATCTATATCCATCTATTATAAAAACAAATACGAAATCAAAAACCTGTAAATTCCGGTTCACTAACCTTTGGATTCCTACGGCTTTAATGTATAGGTGAAGCTTCACCACACTTACGAGTATATACCATAAACTCAAACATTTGTCAAATCACTATTACGTATACCACCGCTTGGAAGCAGATGTTGTATAAGCATATTTATTATGAGAGTCTTCACCTATAAAATAAATGTTGGAATTCAATTAAATACCGTAATGCACATGTAACTTAATATGTTGATGTCTACATACATACATTTAATCGGTGTCATTCAACGTTAAAACGACTTCCTCGCATTCATCTGCAGTATACATACATGCAAAATGTGAAGGTAGTAAATTAATAGAGAGGCCTGTTGGTTTAGTTAAGGGGGTTGCGATCTTGACTGCTAAACTAGACGATGGGTTTGATTTCCACCCAGGACAAATATTGTGTGATGAGCACGATTAGTTGTTCCGTGCATGCGTCTTGCTTTTGTAAGTTTATCTATAACATGATGTATTTAAAAATAATTATGTTTTTTTATTGAGAAACATATGTGCCCGGTTCACGGGCTAGCCCGCGAATGTCGGCGTTCTAATGTGTCTCTTGATGAAAATGTGAATGTATTTATGTTTATAAATGATTTATAACAAAACAAAGTAGATAGACCTTGAGAAAATGTTTACAGAATGAAGTCATATAGAATGAAAGAAATAGCTTTAGAAATTAGACTTGGATCTTTATGTTTCTTTCATCATTCCTTTTCGCGACTAGAAATAAATTCATTTTCTAACTTTCTAGAAGCAATAGACTTCTCTAATAAAAAGTAAGTTCAAGTTACAATCCAAGTTACAAATCAATCTTACAGTAGAAACCCAAACTTTTTAATACATACAAAAAAAAGCCTTCCTCAAATAATACTTACAGCAGGAACCCACACTTTTTAATACATACAAAAAAAACCTTTTTGTTCTAAAGAAAAAATACCACTCCTAGTTTTATAAAGTCAATGTAATATTAATAGTATGTGTGTAAAATGTAACAGTCTTACTACCTTATCTAAATATAGTAACAGAATTATTAAACAATATTTAATATAATCTAACATACTACAGTTTGGTACTATACTTTACGGTACGTAGTGGTTTAAATATCGTACTTATCTACTCATTAACATATCTTACACAATAAATGGTGAAATAAATCCTTTAAAAAAAATACTGACAAAGAGAACTAATAATTAGAAAATAATAATTAATATAAGTAAAAAAACTAGAATAAGTACCCTCAATATAACAGGTAACATTATAATAGCAATAGTCCCTTCTAATCTGTTTGAAGTCGGTGGCTAGCCTAGTCTAGCGATAGGCTTGGTAGAATGTAGAGTGCTGGGCACAATAAGTAATAGGTACTGGTCATGTCAGCTTTATATTAGCACATCAAAAAATTAAGAATTCAATATAATTCTAATGAAACATCGCAGATTTTGTTAATTAATAAAGATCAATCACATGCGCAAACTTATCAACTACCTAATAACATATTCAAAATAATATGTTTTGCGCAGCATGAGGACTGTTGCAGCTGCTGCTCTAAATTCTAAAAAGCCTATCGCTTTACAGGCTTGGTAGAATGTACCTATTTCGCTTGGCACCGACTTCAAACAGACTAAAAAGGAATTGCTACTATAACGTTACCTGTTATATTGAGGGTACTTATTATAGTTTTTTACTTATATTTGTAATTTATTTTTTATTTTTTTAACTTTTTTTGAAAAGGATTTATGGTCTGACAGTGTATAATGTTGTTTCAAGAAAATGTTGTGACACGACAGATATTCACGTGACATAATAACATACCTATGTTCAACGAACAAATTATCATCCACCGCTATAGTTGATGTACCTACATCTGTGGTAGTTCGTCGCAACAATCATGGATTTATCACGTATAATTGGCGAATATTTAAGACATTTATGTAGGCGTTTAAATGGGGGAGAGGAAAAAATTTAGAAAATATCTCATAAATATATATACAAGTGTACGTAGTAAATGTTTTACATTTCATAATACTAGGTACCTACCATCCTACTAAATTATTATTCAGTGGCTAAGCCGTCAGTTTTCTGCCAATCAATCACTAACAAAGTTGAGGTATTATTTGTTTGTATTTCGCACGCTTTTCTGTGAAGACTAAGCCAATACATCAACATAAATAAAAATGTAAATCTTACTATAGCCTTTTGACCTTCACTGTTTAGCTATTGATATATTAAAAGTGGCATTTGACAAATAATTTTATCGTATATTTTTTATTGGCTAATGACTAGACAATTTTAGTCTAACTTGTTCCTAACACTTATATTGCAAAAAACTATTTGACTGGCTTATTTGCGAGTGTTAACATTTTGAAACTTAGCTTATCGTGTAGCGTTGCATGAATGCTTGCAATGTAAATGTTTAGCTAAACGACTGATATGCGAATATATCCACTAATGTACTTACCGCCAACAATCCATCGTTTCCGTATGCTCGGCCTTCAAGTGCTAGTTCCTTGTCGAGCATGGCATCCAGCTGCTCAAGCTGGTGACACGAAGAGCGAGCTGCCACCCAGCTAGAAGCCAGGATGAATGAACCCAAGATGAATGAAGCCGCTACTACTGTGAGCGCTGCTATTCTCGCGATTTGTACTGATGATGATACTCTTTGCCGGTACGCCTGTCAGATAAAAGCAAATTGTTAGCAATGCTAAATTAGGACTACTTCAAATCACATTAAAATGTCAGCCAAACATTTTTTTTTCAGAATATTTTAACCGAAATAACAATTAAGAAAAGTACTTGTTGACACAAAACGATAATATTTTAAAAATCCGCCCTAATTTAGAGTTCCACGAAATGTTATGTAGCTGTTTCTTTGTAAGTTAAATTTCCCTCTAACGTAGAGATGAAAAGCGTCTAATCGATAGCAGAATTTTACGGTATGTTTACACTCCGATTAGTGCAAGTGTTGTGCTATTCTGCTCTGTAGTGACTTTTTAAAACATATCGTTATAAACATTCTAAAGCTGAAGATTTTTTTTATAATAGAAGGTAAACCTCAGTAATAAATTCTATACAGTTGTGTCTACAACTTACAACTGTTTTTTTTTTGTAGAGTTAAGAAGCTTAGAACTTGTTTTACATCAGTTATTTACTTACAAAACAAACATATAATGGAAACAAGTAATTTTTAGAAATATTAGAAATATAGTGTTATTTTTCAGTCTCCTTCACAACATCAAGTGAATAATCAGGATGTTTTTGTAATTTCTTTACATTAGTTTTGTCTACCATTCGGCAACCCTCATAAACTAAATATATTGTAGAAAGGCACTTCCTACGGAACTACTCATTACGGGTTTAATAAAAAAATAAGAATATAGATACTAAAGTATTTACGCGCATTTATTATATTTTAACTAAAGAAAGTGCCAATAATAATTGACATTAGATTTCAAAGAATTCAATTCCATTTTATTAAAATATTCTAGTTCAGCTGTATTCTCATAGTTCTAAGCTTAACATCGTTTATCGTCCTGTAAGTTTACAAACCATTATAAATAACATGATTTCATGTCATTATATAAAAAAATAAACACAGGCAAGTACTTGTGCTCTTGTGTAAGTCTGTTCGTGACAGAGACTATTAGATCATGATTTGATAATTATGCATAAACAATGACATTTTATATTCAATAGCAGTGTTTGTATTCATACAAAACAAATTCTTTGAGTTTTTTTTTTCAAAGAATTTGTTTGATTGCGTCGCTACTTTACGAAAGAAAGTTTCTTGATTTAAAATGGCCAATGCGGCAATTGAATTGATTGAATATTGATGAATATTAACAAAAGTGATTGATCAACTTTATTTTTTCAAGTTTATAAACAAAATTTACAATATTACTAATGCGTTTTAGACGCATAGGTACATATGTAAAAAAAATCTTATTGTTTCTTAATTTGCCCAAGATTAAACAACGTTACGTTGTTGTATGTACTAAATGACACAAGTTTTGATAATTATTTAAAGCGTATGCCTATGCGTATGCCACATTCAATATTTAACAAAACTTATTCACACCATGCTTATTCCCATAGGACTTAATTATAAGCAAAAGTAATTGCTATGGCCTATGTTTAGTTTGACCTTAGCAAAGTGTAGCTAATAAGCCGTTCATAACTACACTCAGTACCTACATACACAATTGTTGCATAATTCAAAAGAAACTAAACACCTCTCATTCATGACAAGAGAGTCACGATGATTTTTATGTCCTTGGAATAATTAGGGTCTAAATATTTTATTTTGATGTATCCATATTTGTATACTTACAATCATTGATATAATACTTACATAGATGAGTAATTACCGCCTAAAATCGTTGCTACTGCACATCTGTCCACAGGCATATGCGTAGCAAACGTCAATTCAGTATTCAATGTGGCGTCAACCGAGTTGAACATAGCGACACATGACAGTAACAATCGCCAAAATGGCTAAATGCGTAGTGAAAGAATGCGATTCAAGGTCACAAAACATTAATAAATCATGCGAAATTACTTTTCACGTGTAAGTTAATGGTTTTTGTATTGATAATATCGTAAATAAGGCTATAATTGAAATAAAACACTGATAATTGTAATTTAGAATCAGTGTTACCATTAAAAAATCATTTTGGTTTTCCCACATTAGTGGGAGAATTTATAATTTATGAAATAATATGCTTCATACTGTTTTTAAACATTTTGCCAATAATAATAAAATATAGGAAGAACGGTAGTTGTTAGGGCTGGACCGATCACTTTTTTTAGGGACCCGTTGAACGTTCACTGCGAGCTTGGGAAAAGTGCCAAGCTCGCAGTGCTGGAGACTTTTGTACAAAAGAATTAATTCATTGTTTTTCTTAATTTATTATCAATTTGAAATAATAATTGTACAAAATAATAATAATAAAAAATGTTTATCATAAAAATATAAAATAAAAAAGTAAATAAACATAAATAAAAAAAAATATAAAATATAAATTAAAAAAAAAATTTTTTTTTTATTTGTTTTTTAAATTATAATAGAATTTGCAATACACCCTGGGGATTATTTATTATCAGTACAAGTTGATCATTCACTTTTATTATTAAATGCTATTATTTTTACATACGTAAAAATAAGATTGTATCATGAAAGTAAAATATCCACACAAACTTATAAAAAAGAGTCTAAAAGACCATTGTATACAAAACTGATGCTTCACAGCGCAGTTTGATTTTACACTGAATATAAACCCTTTTAACCAAATATTTCCAGTTATTTTATTATTTATACCTATTCTATTCAATTCGAAATATATTATTTAGAATATTTAAATTAATTTATTTTATTACAAAATTGTTTTAAAAAAAAATTGTTTCTTAGTTGTTATGGGTAAAATTTCATACGGTAGTCAACACTGGCCCACCATCGTAAAGTTATATCTTTGTCTTTGTCTAATCCGAGCGATGGTATTGTTCTTGTCTCGCGTGTAAATGAGACATAAATATGTTTACTTTCAAATGTTTCGTGGTATCAAAGCTACGTCGTCAAAGTTCAAAAGTGGTTACACTTTTTTCGACGTGTGATAATGAGGTTTGCTTCTCTAGTGTTGTTTTAACTCAATGCTTACAATACATTAATATACATACATAATTTATATTTCACAATTTGGTATTTACACCTAATATGTGTTATAACTGTACCATAGTAAAGTTAAGCCCTTTTTTACATATCCAATGGAAGCCGAACACCCATAATTCAAAATGTTCTGTCAATATAAAACAATAATTTATCAAGGTTACGTGATTGGTTTACAGCCTTGTTACTGCTCAAGTAACTTGAACAGGGAATCGGACAGGATCGAACCCTTAAAGTCATAGTAAAGAGTCTCCAACGAAAGAAAATAAGTAAAATACAGCATATATCAAAGCCACTGGAACTGATATCTAGTCTAGTCGAGTCTAAAAGTAGATACAACATGCGAATCTTACGATGTAAACCACTTTGTGACAATTGCTTACACAAAAATGAGTTCAGAATATGACTGGTAATGGAAACATAAATAAATAGCTGGTCTTAGTTAATTCAACACGTTAACCCACTATTTTAACATAAGCGATGGTGCTTTTTGATTTATTATTAGAGCTATAATTCTCGACAGTTGTCAATTTGTCAAACTGTCGAGACGCGCCTTCAGTATAGCCTTTTATATAAGTAAGATAAATAACATGACTACACACTTTAATACGCCTCACATGTTTCTGTATTTTCCATATCGCTTTTTCCTTAACAACCAGGACCTTAAAAACTACGTTGTGTAATATTCAAAAGATAATATCAGTTAGGTATCGTAACATTTCAATCTTAATCACGTGAAAAGGGCCTTTTGAAGTGAAAAGCCGTGTAAACCTAATTTGTTTATTAGCTAATATATTTTCGATATAATTTCATGGACTTTTTGGTAGCTATCAAAATCTAAAGTCTCAGAGATGTGTCTCAGCAGTAATAATTTTAGTTTGTGCAATTCAACCAAACAACATGATCTCATATCACATAATATAAAACATTGTTGACCGATGTTTGCTCGGATTAATATTTCTTCTTCTAAAAAGGTATGGAAAGTCTCTTTCGTAGGAGCCTAGTACCTACTCCCTTATTCTGAGTAGCCTCCTTCAAATACGTACTGGTAGATGAATGTGTTGAATTACAAACTTAAATACTCCTCTGTCTATCGAGTTTCATTCCTAATATCATTCGATGTCTCATCGTGATCGTGACTTTCTAGATTAGGATGTAAATGCAACAGCTTATTATGTATTAAACAAAAAGTAGGTAAATAACAAAATAGGCATTTACTATGTAACTAAAGTACACACACGAATTACATAACTGAATCGACAGAGGCAGGTGGGGCAAATCGTCAGTGCCAGGCCGTTAGGGGGGGACGATATTTAGGGGAGAGGAGGGGAGGTCTAGTGAAAGTCTTTTTATCGTTGCAGTTGAGAAATCTATCACCTTTAGTCAAGTGCATAATAATGTCGACTTCATTCAATTAAATCCGCCATTACATCGTGAATCTGTATGCTTATTTTGAAATGGCTTTTGAAACAGTCGTTGCGTACTTTTCTCATAGCTTCTCATAAGTTAATGGGCCCAATATGAGAACCTCATATTTCTACTCTACACTAATTCATTCACGAACCATCATCATAATAAGCTTTATTCTTTCTAAAAGACACGCTTTATGATGTATATCTGAGAGACATCACTTTCGGCGGCTGCAAAGTCCATTGAGAGAACGATTTATTCTGCCAAAGGCATGTCAAATTGAACCACACATGACCTTAACTTATGTAAATTGTGATTTATCCTTTTACTAATAAATCATAGCTTAATTATTTCAACCACAAAATTTCTGCGTTACGCAGTATATCTTTATTTCTAAAGCACGGTAATAAAATTAACGAAATGTAGACCTGATCGGACCGTCAGGCAATTCAATGGTATGTAATATCTATCAATCTCGTTAATTCCCATTCATTACTAAAAAATATATGTATATTTTGGTAGTTTGTTATTGTAAGGTGAAAACAAATAAATACACCACGTAATTATAATAAAAATCAGCTGTGATGTTTAGAAATTAGACT